GTTTCCTGTAGCGGGGAGTGCTACGCGCCTGAGTAACTTGAATGGTGCTCTGTCATTGTAAACACAGAAGCCATTAGAGGAAGCAGATACCAACTTCTATGTTTACAACTAAAATGTCAGTGAGTAAAGAGCCAGTTCCAGAGGTGGTAGAATGAAGTAGAAGGGCAGTGCAAACTATCACCCTACTCTGCTGGATATGAAACAATACAGTATACTATTCTACCCTAGAAAAATACACAAACTGCAAAAGCAACAATGAGAAGTCAGCCACATGGTTCTGGTAGGCAGGGCAGTAGCTTTCTAAATACAGGAATGTGTTACTGACTGTCATAATGCATGGGTGCCTGTTTGCTGTCCCAGACAACTATATTGTCCTAGGCCTAGATGTAATAGGAACTCCTCTCTGCTCTCAGTTTGGTTATTAAAGTGGAACTTCAGCCAAAAGAGGAAGTTCTGTTCTTCCTCTCCCAAATTTGGAGAATTTTTTTTTTTTTGTGGGGGGGGGGAGTGGGTACCTGGTTTTGAGAGGTACCCGCTTCCACTTTCAGTCGGATTACCACGGCAGATCCACCGCAAGTTCTTCTCCCACCTGCAACCTTCTGGGACACGTCACAGGTCCCAGTAGGCCGCAGGACCATTCAGAAAGCACAGTGTGGCTTGTGCATGTGCAGTGGGGATGTGGCTGTGAAGTCGTAAGGAGCCCATAGTTAACATGCTGGTGCCAGGAAGACCGGTGAAGAACCTGCCCGGGTGAGGACAGCACTGGATGCTTGGACAGGTGGGTGTCCTTTTACTAAAAGTCAGCAGCTCCAGTTTTTGTAGCTGCTGACCTTTTATTTTTTCACAAATAACTGAAGGTCCTCCAGCATTTCCCATGCTAGGGAGATGTTAATAAACAGTGTCCATCTGATACTGTGAAGCTACTGGCTCTCAATCCCTGCTGTCATTGACAGCTTAGGTCCCAACAGGACCAATGAGTATGGTTCACAGTCATGTGATCACTATGCCAGCTATGACACAGAGGTCACATACAGGCTGGAAGCTTCAATGATAAAATCTGCAGTGCCCTCTAAAGGGTACATTGTAAGTTACAACTACTTTATGATGATGTAAAAAAATAGGAAAAAAGTAAAAACTATTTTTTTTTCATTTGCACATTTGTCCACTTAATATTGTTTTATATGAAAAAATTACCAAATAAAAATCTTAACATTTTTTTTAGGTATTCAAATTTGATTTTTTTTCTACGTTAACTGACACATCCAGTCGTTGCTACATTTAGACGTTTGGGCATCAATGGCCCCTGATCACAAGATGGTTAGGCAGCTGTGCTCTAGTCTGTGCCATCCTACTTTTTGTTGTTCTGTATGCACTATACATTATACTGGGGTTATGCCGCACTATTCTTCTATATTCTTTGTTTGCCGTGTCCGGTAAGTGAGATGTTTGCTGCATTGCTGATCCTGGTCTCTTCTCGCTGCTCCAAGTCCCCCAGATACTGAACTGCTTTTTTCCTCATTATTCCTCTCACCCTCAGAATGGGAACACATTTACTTGTAACATAATAGAACTAATCAGTCTTCTGATTCTGCAAAGAGAGATAGAATATGTCCTATTAATGGTAACTGAGCATGAGCTGGAGAACAAAGGATTTCATATTTATTAAATCAGAACCTGTAATATCCTTCGCAAGCAACCAGAAGCCTTTTTTTTTTTTTATGCAGATCAGTGTGTGTTTAACTTTTTGTTCGACGGGGGCAACATTATTAGTGATTTTGGTGGTTTTTGCATAAAGTGATACTAAACACACACTTTTTAATTTACATTGTCCCTTCTCTGTCCCTCTCTGTATGTGGATGAGGGAACTCCAATTATTTTAATTAAAAAAAACATCCCTGTACCTTTTTTCCTAATCAATATACAGCTGTCACATGACCCAGCGCTTCCCCAGCCTGTCTGCAGGGAAACAGTGGCAGGAGGAGCTTCTAGTGCTCTGCTACTGGTCACACGTTAAAAAAAAAAAGCTTTTGGGATACAGAATAAAAATATAGAATTAATATCAATAAACTGTTTTAAATCATGATACAAAGATATATTTGAAATACATTCTTTATTATTTTTTTGCAATAACATGGTGTGGGTGGATTTCTGCCAGTTACAGGCTGTGTCACACCCCTCCAGCCTGTGTCTTAGAATAACAGGCAGTTGAAGTCTTCACCAATCAAGATGTAATATCTCACCCCCATTGTGTTTAGCTGGTTAGTGGGCCTGCAGGAGGAGGGAGAGAGTGAGCTGTCATTTACCAGTGTCTATGCCCACATGTGTGACTCTTGACTCTGTAGTCGCAAGGACTGCTCCGAGGTGATAGGGAGAACATTCTCACTGTAGAAATACACTAAAAACCGAGCATGTGTACTAGCTGTCAACGCTGCTCTGCAAAATCCCTAACTGCAGTGGGGACCTGGAGAGGAGGGGGAGACAGGGAACAATGTGTTCAACCAGGTTTTTGCAGAATACAGAAAATGAAGCCCATAGTGGCTGAGTATGAACAGCATGTAATGCAGCATTTATTGATATTTTTTTTTTTGATGTGGGTTTAATAACACTTTAATTTTAGCTCAGTAAAATCAGCACTACATGGACAACAGTGGACTTCCCCCAAATAATTAATTTTGGTGTTTCCAGTGAAGGATACTGTTAATGTTACAGCATAAAAATACATTTTAGACAATTCTAACCTCATGGCAGCAGTTTGGGAAGGACTCCTTTTTGTTCCAGCATAATTGTGCCACTGAGCACAAAGCTGGCTCCATAAAGACATGGTTTGACCAGTTTGGTATGGAGGAACCCATGGGGTTTATTTACTAAAGCTGGAGAGTCCAAAATCAGACTCACTTCTGCATAGAAACCAATCAGCTTCCAGGTTTCATTGCCAAAGCTTCATTGAACAAGCTGAGGTTAGAAGCTGATTGGTTTCTATGCAGAAGGGAGTCTGATTTTGGATTCTCCAGCTTTAGTAAATAAACCCCCATGTGTCCTGCACAGAGCTCTGGCTTCAACTCTTCTTAACACCTTTGGGATGAATTGGAATGCCGATTGTGAGCCGGGTCTTCTGATCCTGCATCATCACTACCCAACCTCATAACTGTTCTTTTGACTGTTTGGGTACAAATTCCCAAAGAGACACTTCAAAATCTTGTGAAAAACTGAAGGTTTAAGTCTGTTACAGATGCAAAGGGACAGACGGGCAGTTCTTTGGTAATGCATAAGCCCTGGTTCACATATATGTGAATTGGATGTGTTTTGAATCGCATCCCATTCGCATGACATGTGAACTAAACTGGCTCTCTATGTAGCCGGTTCACATATGTGCAGAGTGGCTGCAGTGCAAATTTTAAAAAGTCAAGTACGATTTTCAGTCTGGTTTAGGTGTGATTTCAAGTGTCATACACTTTAAATATACTCACCTGAATCGCTGAACGAAATCACACCAGACTCTTTTTATAAATCGCACTAAAACCGACCCCGCACATATGTGAACCCTGACTTAATGCTAATGATTTTGGAACAGGGGAATGGGATGTAGGTTTGATGGTCAGGTGTCCCCAATCTTTTGGCTGTATAGTAAACCTTTTATTTTAACTCTGTATGAATTTCAAGTCATACAAGAACAATTCGATCCAGTGAGCTTCAAAATGATACATGGCATGGTCACATACATACCCAAAATCGTCTTTGGATCCTACACAGGGAACTGTGACATTAGGAAGTATCCTTTAATGAATTACAAAACCACAACGAACAAAGGATGCACCTACCTATTTATTTATTTATTGCAGGTACTTATATAGCGCTGTCAATTTACGCAGCGCTTTACATATATGTTGCACACTCACATCAGTCCCTAACCCTCAAGGGGCGTACAATCTAAGATCCCTAACTCACATTCTTATACAAGGGCCAATTTAGACAGGATCCAATTAATCTACCAGCATGTTTTTGGAGTGTGGGAGGAAACTGGAGTACCCGGAGGAAACCCACGCAGGCACAGGGAGAACATGCAACTCCAGGTAGGAGGTGCCGTGGCTGGGATTCGAACCAACGACCCTAGTACTGCCAGGCGGAAGTGCTAACCATCTAGCCACTGTGCTGCCCATACCATAGTACAATTTTATTGAAGACAAGTAATGTACTCACAAACACATGACATGTACAAGCGTATCAAAAAATGCAAATTAGACCGCCTCCAGGTCAACCGATGGCATGGAAAGACCTCATAACATCCAAAATGGCTTACGCATTTCAAAGATCACGCAAGGGTACCTTCGTCTGGGTTTATCAGGGCTCTGAGGAAGAGGGCTTGATCCTCAAAACACATAACCGTTTTGAAAGCTATGAGGTCTTTCTATGCCATTGGTTGAACACTGGGGACCTGGGGGTGGTCTCATTTGCTATTTTTGCTATGCTTGTGCATGTCATGCGTTTGTGAGTACATTACTTTTTTTAGTGCTTCAATAAAATTGTGTTATGGTAATGTGCTAGGTCAGTGCACCCTCTCTTAGTTTTTGTTTTGTAGTTCACGAAAGGATGCCCACAGTTCTGAGTGGACAGCATGACATCTAGCACTATACCTAGTATAGCCACCCAACCGGAGAGTCCATCAAGCCCTTAAGCACCACATTCAAGTGCAGGTGGTTTTTCTTTGGTCTATTTTACATTAGTCAGTATCAGCAGACCGGGATTGTGAATAATAGAATCATCATGTCAAAATTAATACAACCCGATATGCCCCATGACCGCTACCGAAGGCTGGCCCTGAACTTTTTGAATTATAGGTAGAAAAAGACTAAAGGGAAAGGTCGAGTGGAGGCAGGAAAGGCCCTATCTACACAGACTAAGATAAAAAGAAAATAAAAGAGAAAGGGAAAAAAAAGAGGGTGGTAGCAAATAAAAGACAGTATCAGCGAAGGGGGCAGAAGTAACAGAAATAAGGGGGTATGAGCAGGGGCGGACTGACCATTTGGGAACTCGGGTACTGCCCGGGGTCAGTAGGGGGCCCCATGAGATGCCATTGGTACCTTTCATAGGCTTTTTTGGGTGTGGTTTAAGTGTGGACAAGGACACGGGCCCCATGATCCCCTATTTCCCGGGGGTCCCATGAGTTATTATTATTATACAGTATTTATATAGCGCTAAAAGGTTTGCTCAGCGCTGTACAATAGCAAGGGGGACAGAATATGAGACAATACAGTAACAAAACAAAACACGAGGGGTTCGAGGGCCCTGCTCTTTGGAGCTTACAATCTAGGAGGGAGTGGATAGTGGTACAGGAGGAAGTGGCTATGGGGGATGGAGGGGTAGGAGGAGTGGAGGAGATCGGCTGTTAGGTGAGGGCGGGGTAGGCTTCCCTGAAGAGGTGGGTTTTCAGGGTGCGCCTAAGGTGAGGAGGGTAGGTGACAGTCTTAACAGTAGTTATCAGTCTGCCCCTGGGTATGAGCTTAAGTTTCTCTATCTTGATGAACCAAGTCCTAATAGGAGGGATACTGGTTGCTTCCAAAATAACGGAATGCATGCCTTGGTGGCATTAAGCAGATGTAACAATAGGGAGTGTCTTCTATGGGAGATTCACAAGATGTACCAATCAACGTTGATCTACAGCTATTTCCTCTAGTAATACATGGACTCAAGTAGAACTAACACTGGGTTTCTGGTGTGATCCTTGAGAGTTGGTTTCACACCACAGAAATGTAGTCCAGATGTGTTCCGGATGTGGGAATGTGTTCAACAGTGTCCAGCTGTGAGCCTAAAATATCCTGATATTTGGATGTACATGTAAATTCGGCCAGTAAATTAAAACCAAGTTTTACCGACTCCTTCCTCCTTGTAGTTCCCCATCGTCAGGAGTACTTTCATCAGCTTAAGTTTCTCTATCTTGATGTGTGAGATGGGGAAACAGCTCTCATTGTTTGAACACTGTTTGTGTGCAGTAAATTAAACGTTCTGGAGTGACATTCTGTGGTTTAGCCACAAGATGTCACTGTTTTCTAACACAGCCTCAGACTGCATAGATATTTCTATATTCAATAAGAGGTGGGGTTTTCACATGGAGTTTAGTGAACAGGAAGAGGAGACTGCAGCCATGTTTTGAACTATACTGAAAGAAGGGGCCGTGTGAGCTGAGAATCCGATGCCATCCAGGTGTGAATGTATCCCTCAGTAACCAGAGCTGTGGCTAAGTGAAGCTGATCGTGTCCAAGACCCTGATCCTGTTCAGAGAAAGGAAGATTGCTGCCAGGAATGCTGATGAGAGCAGAAGAACAACGCAACATATACTGCGATATCGCATGCTTGTTGGAGAGTCATTTGTTCTGTTCAGAGTCACCAGCAGATGCAAAGCAGACCCAGGTCAGTAAGATCGTGCACGCACCTCATTTCAGTGTTGGTGCCTATAGACTGAGACCAGGCCTATAGTTAGTTAGGGACTCTGTTTGTGTCAGGCCACAAGTGTTGTTACTGATCATTGGAAGGACTCCATAACTTAAAGTGACATTTCACATTGGAGAGCTGATAAAATCCCACAAACTCAAGCCAGACTGGCGTTTTGCTCAGAAGGAATACTCAGGCACGTGCTACAGGACCAGTTATGGGAGGGGGAATACTGTAGATTTGTGTTAGATTGTAAGCTGTTGTGTGCTGCACCGCAGGCTAGCCCATACCGTACACCCATACACTGATTCCTGCTCTTTTAGGGTAATAACAGGTAAGGTGTGGCAGCTTAGTTGTGCCCGCCAGTAGGTAAATTACTACACCTTCTACCTTCATCCATCAGGAGGCGCTGTGCTGTGCAGCACAAGGGTCTCAGCCTTTGGGCTGGGTGTATGTAAATTTATTGTATGTTCCCAGCATTTGTGGTTGTGTTTATTTGCCACATCTAAGTAAAATTCTGTTGTGGCAAAAGCTGGTGTTGGGGTTGCTTTCCTAGTTCGTGACTTCACTGTATCCTGGGGAGCCCACCCCGGTACACGGCTTACAGATGAACCAAGTCCTAATAGGAGGGATACTGACTGCTTCCAAAATAATGGAATGCATGGTGGCATTAAGCAGATGCAACAATAGGGAGTGTGTCTTCTATGGGAGCTTCACATGATGTGCCAGTCAACATTGATCTACAGCTATTTTCTCTAGTAATAATGTGGATTGTGAATTTAGTATCCAGGAGTTTCCTTATAATGCTGAGTGAGCAGTCCTTGTCCGGGGTGGACTGACAACTCATGGGGGCCCCGGGCAATAGGGGACCATGGGGCCCCTGTGTCCTTGCCCAAACTAAAAAAAGCCTATGAAAAAGCTACCAGGGGCATCTCATGGGGCCCTCTACTGACCCCGGGCCCTCGGGCAGTTTCCAAATGGTCAGTCCACCCCTGGTCCTTGTACTGTATTAATAAATTAAGGTTCTGATATTTGTTTTTACTCCTTGCTAAATTTTAAAGAGCTGTTTCTGTGGCATGCAGTACAACAATTTTGACAGCAGGTGGCAGTGTTTCTCTTTAAATTGTTTCTCTCTTTGACTTCTTCCCTGTAAGCACTTCACACCTACGCATCAGGCCTTCAGCTCTAGAAATTCTTTAGGAGTGACTTATGAAATAGGTAATTTTCATTTCTTGGCGAACATTCAGTCAGGTGCAAATGGAACTTAAAATAAATAACTTAAATATATATCACTGGATGCTTAAAGTAAATAAAGGTGCAGTTTTGGAAGAGTGAACAATTCCTTTAATAAATCACCCTCTTTGCGAGTACACTGATTATGATGTAGTACAGTAATAATAACGACGTTATATATCTGAGATGATAAGCAAGTTGTTATTGGTTCTGGTTAAAAAAAAAACCCCACGATTGTCTATTTCATATTTTTAATTTACTCTATAAAATGCAGACAGATTTCAGATGCCCAAATTAACATTTGTTTCGAGATTGGCATTTCACTTTTTTAGGGTAAATAGGATAAACCCCTAAGCATGACACACCATTTAAATGGTGACTGACCCTGTTTAAAGCGGTAATAAACCACATCCAAAAAATTAAAAAAAAATTCCCTGCAAGGTAAAGGCATAATGTGGTAGTATGGATCGCATACTAGCACATTATGGAAATCTTACCTTAGAACAAAGCCCTGACCGCTGATAGAGCTTCCATCTTCACCCGATCCTTCTTCCAGGTTTGCGGACTCCTGCGGCTTGAATGGCCAAGCCACGTTGACATCACTCCTTCAGAGTATGCCGTTCCTTCACAGCGCATTTGCCAGCTCTAAAAAAACAAAACAAAAAAAGAATATCTCCTAAACCGTGCTGTTTAGGAGATATTCCTTTTCAGGGGCAGACTGACCATTTGGAGACTCGGGCACTGCACGAGGGCCCTGGGTCAGTAGGGGGCTCCATGAGATGCCCCTGGTACCTTTTTTCATAGGCTTTTTTGAGTTTGGGCAAGGAACACAGGGGCCCCATGATCCCCTATTGCCCGGGGGCAATATAGTGATGCCAAATCTGACTTACTGAACAGATTGCATACACATATAAGTGCTCATATTGGCCCTCACATGGCAGTACTTGGGTCTTGTGGAAGAAGAGTGGGGGGTACATTCTTCCCTTTAGAGACAAGCTCAGGTTTTTGGGGCTCTAGCAGCCCCCTTTGGGAGGGGTTAATGTGACCAATTAAAAGTATGCCAGGGCTGCCTATGGTGTCTTATTCATTACTAGTTTTTAACCTATCAGCATATCTTTGGAGTGTTGCAGGAAATGGGAGTACGCGGAGGAAAACCACGCAGGCACAGGGAGAGCATACAAACTCCAGGCAGGTGGTACCCCATGAGTTGTCAGTCCGCCCCTGTTCCTTTTACCTATAGGTAAGCTTTATTATAGGCTTACCTGTAGGTAACAATTCATAAAGTGCCTTTACTACCACTTTAACCTGTCATTTCCTAAAGCATGGTTTTGTTGTAAGTTGTGTACATCTAAAAACTGCTGCATGGCAGCTTAAACAGGTCCCAAATCCAGTTAATATGTGATGCACACACATTATAAATTGTAAAAAAAAATAGCTTTTACCTCCTTCTTTACCTTCTTTATTTGTGTCTCACCCACTCCCCCTCCCAGACACTGCAGCTCACAGTGGGAGGGTTTCAGCAACACAGATAGTGCTGTCAGTCCAGGAAGCAGTGGGCAGGACTAGTTGTGGCCAAGTGCTGATTGACAAGCTACAAGCTTGTTGGTCAGCAGTGACAATACTGATAGGCATGCCCCCCAGCAACATCTTCCCATCCTGCTGTAGGGCAGGCAGGCATAGACTGCAGGAGGGTAATAACATTGCTCGGAATTCAGGAGCAGTACAGCATTGTTGCCACCCCATCACAGGAAGCTGCATTAAGTGGGCTTCATTGGCTGGCTCAACAGGTATTTGTGAGACTTTGCAGAGAGGAAGAGAAAACCGATGCATATGCTGTACAATTAAATGCTTCAGCATATCAGAATAGGATGTGATGAGTAAACAATGAATATGTTTTTATTGCTTTGTGTATGTTTCAAGATTACAAGCACTTGAAGAGCAAACCTGAATGTTCATCAAAGGCAACTTTATAGATCACCTGCAGATAGTGACGTTTTGGAGCCATCAATGAACACCTTCATCAGGCCCCGGGCACTATATGTGATCATTGAAGTTGCTCATAATGAGGTTTAGGTGTGCTGATTACATGGTTTTGATTGGACTGGATTGTGATGTCGCCATCCATTGTTGTCATTAGTTTGCCGCACTACTATTGGTCACCTAGTTGCATGGAGTGTGCCTGAACTTATGTTGCCAAGATTTCCCCCAACTTCCTCTCCCAGTGACTGTTGCCAGGAAGTGAGTCAGAAATCTCTCCATCGGGGACATAGACAATAGGAAAAACCTGACAGAGGATGTATTATTTCATTATAGCTATCTCAGATTAAAAAGGAAAGTTTTGGTTGGAATTTAGCAGTAAGTGCTTGCCTTAGGTGGAACCAAGCA